TAACATTCTTATGAATAACTGCATTAAAGTAACATAGGATGGGTTTGTTACACTTTCACTTTATACTTCCACCTTCTGCCATGGTTTTGTCTAGTTCTGTGGAGTACAGGTGCAATGAACACAGAGTTCTCACTTCTAACTTTAGGTTCAATCTGCAAGCCAACCACTCATATACCATTTTTTTTTCCACATCCTTTCCTAATAAAATGAAGTACACCTGGACAGGGACATCTAAGGGTAGCTAACTCTATCCAGTCTTGAGTGCCACAGCCATTGCTCAGCTTGCAAGATGCACCAAACCTCTAGACCACCATCATCTGGGTCAGTGGGAAATGTGAATAAGGTATCTGTAAAGTATATGCAGGAAAGAGATGTTGTGTGTTCCCGTGCATGATTTCCAAAGAGAGTAATTTGAGCATTCTTGCTACAGGAGTTTTGCCATTTATTTACTATATTGTATAAAACCAAAATTTTTTATTTTGTTTGGTAATATTTTATTTTAGAGAAATTACAATTTATTTTTACCAATTCCTTTTATGTTTAAGTGCCCCAGTTTAGACAAAGACTATAAGGTCACACTACTATAACCAAACACCTCACTCCCTATCACATTATAATGTATTGTATTAGGGAATGTACGGACATAACTATATAAACCATCTCCTTGGTCCTCAAAACATGGCAAGGATCCACCACTAGAAAACCAACTAATACCACATTACTACTATAGTAAAACTATTTTTTTTAAACCACTGTGATTCTTAAGCAAATACAGAAACGTCTCTATTCCACAATAAGCATGAGAAAAGTATTCTACACAACTCAGAATTATACATGTTATACAAAGATTCAAATTCCTATGAAACGATTACTTTTCTGTTGATTCACAAAGTGCTTCAGAATTATGTTTTAGCCCTGAGGACTTCATTCATTTTGAGCATCTAAACAGAGTCTAGGTTAGAAGGAAACATGAAGACATTGTAAGCACCATAACAGAGGTAAATTTTATTCTTCTGGATAGCAAATAAGTATTCATTACGTTAAACAGCATCCTTTGGAATAGCAATCATTAAACGGCCTTTTAAAAGTATCAAATACATTTGAACAAGTATAGGACAAGTCTACATTTGGTCCAGCTAAAAGACAAGGCTATCTGAAGTTCCTGGAGGAATTTCAGAACCTTCCAAGTCTAAGAACAGGAAATAAAAACTATTCCTTTTGTAACAGCTCTTTCATTCTAGATGAAGATTCTTTTTTGAGGGGCAGAGGGAGAAAGAGAGGGAGGTAGGAGTGAGGAAGAAAGAGAGAAAATCTTAAGCAGGCTCCACCCCCAGCACAGAGCCCGATGTGAGCTCAATCTCACAACCCTGAGATCATGACCTGAGCCAAAATCAGAGTCAGACACTTAATCAACCTAGCCCTAGATGAATATCTTATTATCTGAACAAAATCTGAAGCAGGAAAAAAAAATCTTTGACCTTTAAAAAAATGTTCTATAGAGTTATCATAAAAGGACAGTTGTTTAATACTCAATGCAACCCAGGAAAAAAATCTTGTTATCTTTCAACCTGATTCAAAAACTTAAATTTAAAGGGGCACCTGGGTGGCTCAGTTGGTTAAGCATCTGCCTTCAGCTCATGATCCCAGAATCCTGGGATCCAGCCCTGCCCCTCACCCCATTCATGCTCTCTCTTACTTTCTCTGTCTCTCTTTCTCAAATAAATAAAACCTTTAAAAAAATAAAATTTGGCTTGTTTTATTAAAAAAACCTTAATTTCTTTTTTTTTTAAGATTTTATTTATTTATTTGACAGAGAGAGACAGCAAGAGAGGGAACACAAGCAGGGGTAGTGGGAGAGGGAGAAGCAGGCTTCCCGCTGAGCAGGGGGCCCGATGCGGGACTCTATCCCAGGACCCTGGGACCATGGCCTGAGCTGAAGGCAGATGCTTAACGACTGAGCCACCCAGGTGCCCCCCCCCAAAAACCTTAAATTTAAAAATGCCAAATTTAAAATTTTAACAGTAGAGGTCATTAAAGATTCTATATCACAATCAATGTATAAAACACCTTTAATTCAAATATGATTTACCCTAGTCAACATCTAGGTAAGGTGATGGAGCAGGTCCCACTTCTGCTCCAACCAAGAATGTGAGGGTTAGGTAAGGCCAAAAAGTGGGAAATTTCACAAGTAGCCCAAAGAACAATATTCTGATAATCCTGCCTTAATAAAACAGAAAATAGTTACTATGTCTGATACTTGACCTTTATAGTATTCATATATAACATTGAGTAGCGGTAAAAAAAAGTTTTTAAATAAACCATTATATAAGATCTTAACTTCTTAAAGACATTATATCAACTCCTTAAATAAGAAAACAATAACCTCTGCTTTGGATAGTTAATCAGCCCAAATGTTTTTATAGATGTTAGGTCTCTCCCTAATTTCTATCATGCAAAAATGTCATTTTAGAAAATCCTGATACAAATTGAAATGTACCAGAATAGGAATCAAAATCAGCTCTTTCCTCCCACTTTAATTTATGAACCAGGATTTACACTAAACTGTCAAGAGTCACAATAGGTGTAACAAAGTAAGCTTGGGTACAGAACTTGTATTTCACTCCAGAGGGAAGGGTGGTTCAGTGGTAAACTATGGAAAAGAGATGCCTACTCAGATTTCCAGGTGGACCTCTTAGACATACCTTATTTCACCTAATTTATTATGCATATTATCCCAAGTTTACACATCTCTTTACTTGAAATGTTTCTTATAATCAATGACATATCACCATTTAACTGTAGGGAGTTTTTTCCTCCTTAAGAGTACATGAAATAATAATAGATTTGATGAAATATGTTATTTCCCTGATGGTTCCTCCTGAAAGTGCTTCCAATTCAGTTCACATCTAATTGTTACTCCAAACACACACACACACAAACACACATCCTTGAGTATGTTTTTAAAGGACCTTGAAATAAAATTAATCAGCAATTCACTTGAGGCTCAAATATTCAAAAATATATCAAATTGATTGAGACTCTCCTTAAAATGCAAGTTAAACAAAACAAAAATATCAACTAGGAAAAAAAAAATGTATGCTCGGGCGCCTGGGTGGCTCAGTTGGTTAAGCGACTGCCTTCGGCTCAGGTCGTGATCCTGGAGTCCCGGGATCGAGTCCCGCAGCAGGGAGTCTGCTTCTCCCTCTGACCCTCCCCCCTCTCATGTGCTCTCTCTCATTCTCTCTCTCTCAAATAAATAAAATCTTTTAAAAAAAAAATGTATGCTCTATACACCTAAGACACACAAATTTGGAAACTGAGTCTTGAACTTTCTGCTGCCAGTTAATTTTGTGAAAATACTCTTCTCAAATCACCACATATCTTTCAAAGTCTGAAATTAGGTTTAAGTCCTCCTATTAGTGGTCATTTCCTCTACCCGCACAAAGATAAGTTATCAGTCTCAAAACAGAAAAATGCTTTGCAAGTGAGCTAATGTACAGAAAAGAGCTGCACAATGAGGTTTATATTAGCTTCTGAGGTCAAAAACAAGTTCGACTGTCTTCATTCCCCTTTAGAGTCCCGAGAAAAGAGTTTCACATTGTCTACGCATTAGTTTTCTCGGTTTAAAAGAACATATCGCTACCTTATCATCTTTCCTCATTTGTTCAACAAATAGTATTTTAATGTTTAGGAGGTACTAGGCAATCATTAGTAGGAGAGGACCTACTACTAATATGTGACACTTAGACACCACCTTTGAAAGAGAATACCACCTGCATGAGGCACTACTATCTGACTTAGAACACCAATTCCCACCTGACTTTTAAAATCCCATACACATGAATAAAATTTAATGAAGTAATTTCTTAAAGCCAGGCTCTAAACAGTGTATAGGAGATACATCTTGCTCAAGTTAATCGCCAATTCAAAACTATGCACTTTATCGCTGACAAAAGCGACTTTGTGAGGGCCTGAAAACTCCAAGCCAACGAAAATTTTAATACAGAAGTGAACGCGAAGGTGCTCAATTCAGAAGCGAGACGAAAGAGGAGGGTCTAAAGAAAAAGTGAGTTGGAGGCGACGAGAAGCGCAGCGGCGACCCAAACGTGCTCTCCCCACATCAAGTTAGCAACTTCTCCAACACCGCGGGATTCCCCACTTCCCCAGCCCTCGGACGCGGTGGCCGCGGCTCGCGTCCCGGAGAGGGCTCCCCACCGCGGGGAGCGGATCCACCGCAAACAAACGTGCAAAAGCAGCGGCCAGCGACTAGGGGCGGGGTTAGACCCACGCTCCAGCCCTCGGAGAAGGATGGGGGGGAGGGCAGCGGAGCGAACGACCCTCGGGTCACCGGCCCTGACCTGGGGACGGGGGGTGGGGAGGAAGGAGGACTGCAATCACGCGGCCTCGCGGAGGGCCGGCCTCGCCGCCGCGGACCCCAAGGCCGGCGCTGGGGAACGGGGAGGGCCTCACCGAGGACAGGCGGGAAATGGGGAGGCGGGAAGACTGGAGGCCAGCACAGCTTGAACGCCGCACGCGAGGCCCCGACCCTGCCTTGCCTTCCGCGGGCCCCAGGAGGTCCACAAAAGGCCCCCAGCCTCCCGAAGGGACGGGGGTGAGGGCTGAGGAAGCAAACACACACACCCGCTTGCCTCCCTACCTCCACCCTCCGGCCACGCTCCTCGGGCTCCGAGCCCCACAGCGGAGCGGGGGAGGCGAGGGCCAGCGGCGTGGCCGCGGGGAGCTGACGCCCTCCCCGACGCCCGGAGACCGGCGGGCGCAGAAACCCCGACACGAAGACAAAAATCAACAAAGCACCTGCCGCTCCCGAGGAGAAAACATGCCACAGGCCCCGACCGGGGACTCTCCGACGCGCAGCTGCCCGGGCCGCAGGGCTGCGCAGACGGGCTGGGGGGAGGAGGGTCGAGCGGTGGTTCCCTGGCCCCGGAGCCTCGCCTGCTCCCAGAAGCGGCGAGGCAGGGAGCCCCACGCCAAAGACTGACCTTGGAGTCTCCGTTGCACAGAGCCATCGGGGCCGGGGTCGCGGCAGCGGCGGCCACAGTATGAGACGGGGCGGGAGAGGGCCGGCGGGGTCGACGCCGCGGGCTGGGGCTGGAGGAGGAGGCCTGGTCTAGAAGCGGGCGGGCGCGGAGAGGAGCTGGCCGACTGCGAGGCGCCGAATCTAGCAGCAGCCGCGGAGCGCGGGCCCCAGCGCCGCGGGTGAGGAGACCAGCAGCGCGCACGCTGCCCCCGCCTCCTGCTTCCGCCCCGGCCGGCCACTGGGAGGAGCCAGAGCCCGTTCGGCTAGGCAGCCAAACCGCGGACACCTGGCAGAAGACCCCGCCGCCAAATAAGCCCGCCTGGGGAGGAGGGGCCTTCGGTGTCCGGCCCCGCCCCCCAGGTCCGTTCCCACCGCCCAGGTCCGCCTCCGGGAAAAGAAACCCGCAGCTTCTCCCGCCCGCGGGTCCACGGGAAGAAGGGACTGCGGCGCCCGGCCCCGCCTCCGCCGCCAAAGCCCGCCCCCCAGTAGGAACCTGACCCGCCTCCGCCCCCTCTGGTCCTCCCTTGGGGGGGAGGAGCCCGCAACTAACAGCCCGGCTCCCGTCCCGCCCCCGCACCGGGCAACCGGCCTTGGGAGGAGGAGGAGCCCGAGGCGGTCGGCCCCTCCTCGCCGTGAAGGCCCACCTCTGAGAAAAACCCGAGCCTCCGAGAGCTTGCAGTAGGCTTGCCGGCCGGCGGCCTTCAACCAGTGTGAGAGGCTGGGGGAGCGGAGTAGGAAGTCTCCGGAGAGCTGGGTCCTAGCCATTGGCGCGGTCTCATGTCAGGTTGTGGGGCACGGGGTCAGCCAAGGCTACTGTGAAGAATTTCGTCGTGACATCTCAAGGGACGTCAAAGTGAGATTTGATCACATAGGTCCGCAGAAGTTCTACAGCGGGTACAGAATTTCCATAAGGAGGAGGTTTGGGAGCGGCAGTCTGGTGGGATGCTGGGCCAGGGCACTGGCCATGAAGCTCTGTTTGCACAGCACCCTATGTTTTTATTTAGATGGTTTGTGGGGAAGCCCCTTCCAGTAGCTGGAAGAACTGTGGGGCTACAGTTCTTCCAGCTACTCCTTGACAACCGGCAAGATGAGGTATTACTTTGGTGACCTGGGAACCTAAATCGCGGTTGGAGAATAAATAACACTTGGAACAGCTTCCAGATTCACAAAGTCTTTTAACAAATATTCAGTTACTACGATACAGCCATTTGCTGAGCTCATGCTATGTGTCAGGCTCCGGGTATCAAGGAGCCAGAGTAAGACAACCCTGACTTACAAAAACTCATTTTATTCTAAGCTATTTCACGAAAGTAGTGAGGTAGGATTTATGTTCTTACCCACTTTTTACGAATAAAGAAAATTGAGGCTCAGTGAGGTGATGTGCCTCTCTGCCTCTCGGAATAGGAGGTAGGGGGTACCTGATCTGGGAAAAGATAGACAGTTTATTACTATCGGGAACAAAAGGCCCAAAATCCTAGCGGACCCCTGAGTCAATGAAAGTATTTCACTTACCCTTTTTGGGGTTGAAAAACGGATACTTGAACTTTCTAAAGCCATGGATACTGTGCTCTCTTGGTAGGTCTGTATGAGCAATCAAGAGAACAGTGTAGTAACCAATAGGAGAGTCTCAGCTTACATCATTATCCACCCAGAATGAAATGGAACGGAATGTGATGTGCCAGCGTTAGGATTGGCTAAAGCCCATCTGTACTGGATAATACCTATATTAAATATATTCTAGTGGTCACCTGTGCTTATGGCTAAGGTACCAGGATCCTTATATCTAAAGTTCTTCTGCAAATTTTGACTCTATTGACCCCTCCCTCATTCTTGAAACTGGATTTCTCTTACAGTGTATCATAGAGGTGTCTTTTCACCTGTAAGATTGTTCTTGGTCTTTTTTTTCCTATGATAGTTGACACTGTTTCAGTCACCTTTTCTTGCCACTCTTTCTGTATCTATCCTACAGGAGGAAGCTTAAGTGTTGCTTTTCTTCAATATTTCCGTTCCCTACCCTCTTCTCTTCTTACTCTTCACTTGTGTTTCTTTGGGGTACTTGTTTAAAAATCAAAACTAGTTTTGGGGCGCCTGGGTGGCTCAGTTGTTAAGCGTCTGCCTTCTGCTTCTCCCTCTCCCACCCCCCTGCTTGTGTTCCCTCTCTCGCTGTGTCTCTCTCTGTCAAATAAATAAATACAATCTTTAAAAAAAATCAAAACTAGTTTTAAAATGTCCTTTAATAGGCTCTATGACAGCTCTTTCCTCTGAGCTCCAGATCCATATCGCTCTGCACATCCCCAATTAGATATTCAGTGGTATGTTGGGCCCTAAACTCAACAAGTCCAAAACAAAACTTCCCAAATTTCTGTGCCCAATATCACTGAAACCATGATATTAGAGAGAAAACATTCAGTCTTTCATCCATAAGCTGTAGGTTTTTCATAGATTCCCTTTATCAAGTTGAGGAAGTTCTCCTCTATCCCCGTTTTGCTGAGAGTTTTGATCAGGAATGGATGTTGTCAAATGCTTTTTATGATGTGTCTGTTGACATTATTATATGGTTTTTCTTTTTTCAGTTTGTTAATGTGGTAGATTACATTGATTGGTTAATTTTTAAATGTCAAACCAGCCCTATATTCTTGGAATAAGCTTCAAGTAATCATGATATATTTTCCTCTTCGTTTTTTAAGATGTATTTATTTTAGAGAGAGGAAGAGAGGACCTGCATGCAAGCACGAGCATGTGCGCAAGTGAGTGGGGGGAAGGGCAGAGGGAGAGAATCCTCAAGCAGACTCCCCACTGAGTGTAGAGCCTGACATGGTCCAGTGTCATAGCCCTGAGATCATGACCTGAGCCAAAACCAAGAGTCAGATGCTCAACCAACTGAGCCACCCAGGCACCCCCATACATTTTCCTTTTTATATATTGGATGTGATTTGTTAACTCTTGCTTTCAAATTTTTGCATCTCTATTAATGAGGAATATTAACTGGCCATTTTCTTGTAATGTCTTTAACTGGATTTGGTATCAGGGTAATGCTGGCCTCAGAGAATAAAGTTGAAAGTTTGTGTAGTATTATTCTTTCCAGAAGAGTTGGTATAGAATTGGTGTTATTTCTTTCTTAAATGTCAGGTACAATTCACCAATGAGGACATCTGAGCCTAAAGTTATCTTTGTAATAAGGTTTTTAACTACCAAGTAAATTTTTAAAAGATATAGGGCCCTTCAGGTTATCTATTTTTTCTTGACTGAGCTTTGGCAATTTGTGTCTTTCAAAGAATTTGTCAGTTTTGTCTAAGTTGTCAAATTCATAGACAGAGTGTTATTCATAATATTCTCTTATCATTTTAATATCTAGACTCTGTAGTGATATCAAATTTCTCATTCCTGATATTGGTAATTTTGTTTTCTGTTTTTCCTCAACAGTCTGGCTAGAAAAAAGTTTGCCAATTTTATTGATCCTCTCAAAGAACAGCTCTTAGTTTAATTTATTGCTTTTCTGCTGTTTCATTGATTTCCACTTTAGTCTTTTTTATTTCCTTTCTTCTTACTTTGTGTTTAGTTTGCTCTTTTTCTAGTTTTTTAAGTTGGAATCTGAGATCATCAATTTGAGATCTTTCTTCTTTTCTAATATAGGTATTTAGCTCTATAAATTTCCCCCTAAGAACTACTTTACTGATATCCCACAAATTCTGATATATCATATTTTCATTTCCATTTGGTTCTAAACAGTGTCTAATTTCTCTTTTTGATTTCTTCTTTGACCGATGAGTTATGTAAAAGCATGTTATTCCATTTCCAAATATTTGAGGATTTTTCAGAGCTCTTTCTGTTATTGGTTTCTAAGTTAATTCCATTGTGATCATAGAATATATTTCGTATGATTTAAATCCTTTTAAATGTATTGAGGTTTGTTTTATGGCTTAGAATATAGTCGATCTCGGTGAATGCTCTGTGTGTACTTGAAAAGGAGAATGTGTATTCTGCTGTTGTGTGGAGTGTTCTATATATGGCAAATAGGTCAAGTTGATTGATAATATTGTTCAAGACTATTATATTCTTTTTTTTTTTTAAAGATTTTATTTATTTATTTGACAGAGAGAGAGAGACAGAGAGGGAACACAAGCAGGGAGAGTGCGAGAGGGAGAAGCAGACTCCCCCCTGAGCAGGGAGCCCGATGTGGGGCTCGATCCCAGGACCCTGGGATCGTGACCTGAGCCGAAGGCAGACGCTTAACGACTGAGCTACCCAGGCTCCCCAAGACTATTATATTCTTGATGATTTTCTGTTCATTTATTCTATCAGTTATTGAGAGAGGGGTTCTAAAATCTCTTTAATTGTGATTTTATCAACTTCTTACAGTTCTATCAGTTTTTGTTTCTTGTATTTTGAAACTCTGTTATTAGGGTCATAAATGTTTAGAATTGTTATTGATCACTTTCTCATTATGAAATGACATTTTGTATCCCTGGTAATATTCTTTACTCTGACATTTGTCCAATATTAAAAATAGCACGCCTGGGGTGCCTGGCTGGCTCAGTTGGTAGAGCATGCGACTCTTGATCTCAAGGTCTGGAGGTTCAAGTGTCACGTTGGGCCTAGAACTTACTTTAAAAAAGAAATAAAAATAAAATAAAATAGTATGCCTGCTTTCTTGACTGGTTATTCGTATGATATAGCTTTTGCAACTGTTTAACCTGTTTCTGCATTTATGTTATGTCTTAAAGTGTTTTTCTACATGCAGCAAATAATTGGATCTTGCTTTTTTGTCTGATCTGCCAATTTCTTTTAATTGGAGTATTTAGACCATTTATATTTAATGTGTTTATTAATACTGTTAAGTTTATGTCTATAGAGATTCTCAAGCCAGTAAGCTGGGGCAATTGAAGGGCTCATCTCTGTCCTTTAATGCTTGATATTCAGTATTTCAAAACCATTGTTTCATATATTTTGTCTGATTTTTGTTGTTGTTATTGTTGTTGTTTCAACAAGAGGGTAAATCCAGTTCCTGTTACTGCATCTTTGGCAAAAGGGGAAGTCTGGAAACCTCTCTTAATGAGTAGTTGAATAATCTTAAACCTGTAAGTCCTTTACCTGTCTCATACGTAGTTTTGTTAAGGGTGAAAATTGCCCTATTCAGAACAACTTAGGCAATATAGACTAGTGATGTTGATATTTATTAATGTAATTTTGTGGTTTCTGAGACCAACACATTTTTTAGATAACATTTGATAAAATCCACAGATAGAAATTTCACATGACTTTTCAGATTTGGTGAGTATCATATCATAAAATACTTCAGGTATAATCTAAGGTCATTTCATCTTTCAAACTGTAAAATATTTTAAACTTCCCATTAAAAAAATTAACTTTAAAGCTTATAAAAAATATTAGATGCCAACTTAATCCCAATGTGGGA